TCACGGTAACACCCAAGCAGGTACTGCAACGAAAGCATATGATTATGCTGACGTAAGGGAAGGACTTTCGCCTCCTCATGTAGATGGTCCACTGGTGTCATGAGGAGGCACCCTGTCGCAGTTCTCAGGGCAGCGTTCTGGCAGGTCTGGATATTCTTCCACTGCGTAGCACTAGTATTCGCAGACCACACTGGAGCCGCATAGTTGACCACAGACCGACCTATCGCGTTATAAGAGGTCAACAAGGTTTCTTTGTCCGCACCCCAAGAGCTGCCGGCTAGCGCCTTGAGGACCTTGTTCCTACTTTTCATCTTGTCGCAGATAGCTGTGGCTTGCGCGGACGACTTGAACATGCTGTCGAACGTTACCCCAAGAATCTTGGGGTAGTTCGTGGTCGGTATTAGATTCCCCTCGACCTGAACATTCAGCTGTGTTCTCATCTCCGCAGACCATGTGGTAAAGAGTGTGGCTATTGATTTCGTGGCGGATATTTTCATATTCCTCGCGTGGAAGTATGCGGCAAGCTCCGCGAGATAGGGGTTCAACCTTTCGCATATGTCATCGACCACTGGACCCGACGCCATGATCGTACAATCATCCGCATACGTTACGATCTCAATGCCGTCTGGAGGGCGAGGAATTCCGGAAAGGTAGAGGTTAAACAGTTCCGGAGATATCACCCCGCCTTGGGGAACTCCCTGTTTCACTCTACGGGCTTTGGACTTCTTGTTCCGGAATTCCACGTACGACTGGCGTCCACACATATAGTTGATTATCCAACGTTTCAAACTTGGCCGGAGGGTAGTTCTCTGTACGTACTCAAACAATGTGGCATGATTGACCGTATCAAATGTCAAGGGCTACCAACACTGTTCTGTCACACGGCCTGTTCTGGTTCAGTCCTCTACTAATATGTGTGGAAATGGCGTGTAATGCTGTTGTGGTACTATGTTGTGGACGGAATCCATGCTGGTGGTTGGCAACTGTATAGCTTCCTCTAATGCTGGGGAGGAGTAAAGCCTCAAGAGTCTTTGCTACTGGCGACAAAAGCGAAATCGGCCTGTACGATTCGCCTTTACTGGCATCCTTGCCTGGCTTCAGTAGCGGGACCACCCGGCCCATTTTCCAGGTTTCGGGCACTATGTGGGTGGCTAGCGACAAATTGAGAACTTTCGTTAAGTACTCGACTCCCGGCGTATCCAGCTGCTTCAACATTACCATTGAGATTCCGTCCGGGCCCAACGCTTTGGATGACTTAGCGTTACGGATGACATTTGCAACATCACCCATCGTAAACTGTGGTGGTTCCTCCTCGGCGGGAAGAGATCTGATACGACGTAGTACTCTTCGCTTCGCCCTATCGCTCTCGGGGTGTTCGACAAATTGTCGGTTAAAATATTCCGCGCACCTCTTCGGATCAGTCACCGTTACGTCGTTAAAAGTGACTGAGGTCCTATCATCCTTTTTCCCAGGGTTCGAGAGCGATTTAACCGTTACCCACAGCTTACTCATATCGGTTCCAATGTTGCAGCACTTCAGATGGTCTTGCCACTTTTTCCTCTTATGCTCCTGTACCAACCGGTTGACTTCCTCTGTCAAATCACTGATTCTAGGATCAGTAGGGTAGGTACGACGGAGATCATCACGCTCATTTGCTAATCCCGCTGCCTCTGCTGGGAAGTTTGGTCTTATCTCGGGTATTCGACCAGCAGGTATATAGCGAGCGGGTGCAGCTCTGATGATGTTTCGGAAAATCCTTTCTGCTACCCTAACATCAGAAGGGTTGGGCAGTTCTCTGAAGCGGCGGTTGGTGAATTCTCTGATCTCTGGCCAGTGAGCTTTCCCATGGTTAAGGAAAGTGCGGCGTTCAGAGGTTATGAAATCGGGCGACTTGCTTATGGAGACGATTATCGGGAGATGGTCTGAGCCAAGAGAAATGACGGGTTGCCAAGTCACGTCATTTATCAGACCGGGTGACACTATGGTTAAATCTGGCGAACTGTGACACTCTCCTCTTATTCGGGTGGGGGCATCCTCGTTAACCGTGCAGAATGTGGAGCAGTCAATCTGCTCTGCCAGCGCTGATCCCCTCTGGTCATTACCTAGGACGGAATGCCACAACTCATGGTGGGCATTAAAATCCCCTAGTACCAGGCGGTTATTGCCTACCAATAATGGGCTAATATCAGGCAAATAACGTGGTTCACAGCTATTAATCGGCGGGATATACACATTAAGCACCTCTACCTCGGCAGTTCCACACTTGACTGCTACCCCCATACATTCCATGTATGGGTCACTAGAGACTAGCTCAAGCGAGATAGGTCTGTACTGAACAGAATGGTGTAACAGGAACGCTAATCCCCCACCTCCACTTATGGTGCGATCCTTCCTTAGTACGTTGTAACCATAACAACGTTGTAGGCTGCAATTTTCATTCAGCTTGGTTTCCTGCACCACTGCGATCTTAATATTCCTCCGACTCATAAATTCCACTATCTCATCTATTTTGCCTCGAAGTCCGTTGCAATTGAATTGCAAGAATGATGCACAATCCGGAGTTGGAACAGCAACATGTGGCGTTAGGTGCTGCGGTGTTGGTTGCTGTTCTGGAGACTGCGGTGGAGTGCCATACTCCGACGACGTCTCTGACGAGGACGACGAAGAAGAGGACTCGCTGGGGACTACGTTACTGCAGCAAGTCGCAACATAGTCCCTTTCGCTGTAGTCTCGCAAACGCCTTAATCCGGAACAGTTCTTGAAGTGCACCCACTCTCTGCATCCATTACATCGCACGGACCAATAAAATCCGGAGCAAGCATTCCGGGATATGCTGCTCCCAATGCAGAAAAATGAACAAACACAAACATGTACATACTGGGTTGGCAGCCGCTGGCCGAAACTGGGATCTTGTTGTTTCGGGTCAATCCGGTATCGTAGAACCCGCTGCCGTGGGATTGTTTCTGTTCTGTGGACGCCTTTATCTGCAATTTCCCTAAACATGAGCGATAATTCTTCAGAAAATGCAAAAAATTCCTAAGTCTGAAATTCTTTTTGACTATAATTTCCACAGATTCGGAAAGTACTCCTCGAGACCTTTCATTTGTGCCCAGCCACGACACCGCTTCATTTTTAAATATTTTATTCTCGGTTTAAATGTAGAGTTAAGGGTTTCAAAGTAAATTTTAATTAGGTTTTTATTTAGCGATTTCATTTTAAATTTGAAAATTGTACGGAAAATTATGAAATTTGAAATTTTTCTCTGGTTTACTACTCCCTCCCTCTATCTCTCTCTTTCTCTCTCTCTCTCTCTTTATTAACCCTTTGCGAACCGGAGAAAAAATCACCTTGGTTTGTGTCTTTGCTAATTAAATTTAAATTTATCTTGACGGACATCACACGCTGCCCGAATGTTGCTCTGCGGCATTTTGGAACATTCCCGGCGAAGCGCTTGCTAAAGGTGATCGACACTTTTTTTTGCCAACCTTGCTTTCCAAAATACTCCAGACACAATAGTCCAACGGATTGGTATCCGGAGATTTTGGTCGCTATTATGCGCTGAAAATGAAGCGAGGAAACTCATTTTGTAACCATTCTTGGGTGGCGCGTGCTGAGTGCTTTGGTGCTGAGTTCTTTTGGGATGTCCAAGGTCTGCGGTCAAAATGTTGGCGTGCCCAAGCCTTTAATACAACCTCCAGAATATTTTCGCGATAATATTCGTCATTTATTTTGATGCTACGGTCGATTAATACGAGCGGAGAGCGACCATCGGCTGTTATGGCGGGCCACACCATCACCATGGTCGGCGCTTGAGTTCTGGTGGCCAACCGAAGGTGCACATATTCAGCTAACCTCTTTAGCAAGTAAACACTTTCATTTTATTTGTTTACAAACCGCTGGAGAACGAATGTTTTCTCATCAGAGAAAAACAAATTCGGCAGTTCACCACTTCTCACCACTCTTTACCTCTTTTGAATCTATTTTCTTTCTGTTGCGGTGTAAGTTCTTGCACTTTTTGGAATTTCAATGGCGTTCCCCGAGCTCATTTTTCAATATTTGCCGAATGGAATACTGCGATATGTTCAGCTCACGAGCCATTTTTCGGCCACTGCGACGCGGGTTTCGATCAAGTCGCTTCTTTTCTTTTCGAAACATTTCTGCTGATGTTGCTGTTTTCTTCCGTCCACTTCCTTGACGTCGGGCTACGCTACCAGTATCACGGTAACGAGCGATGGTACGAGACACAAAAGATTTATTCACATTTAAATGCTGGAGTGCTCTAACGATAGCCACTTGTGGTTTTCCACTCAAATATGAAGAAATCATACTATTCTCACCAAAATGTTTTTGTACGCTTTTAAACAATATAATGAGCTGTCACTGGAATAATTTTAACACCTGTCGGACGAGTGGCTTAGAAATGACAGCAGTCTGAAGTTGGTTGCAGTTTTTTATCTCACCCTGTATGTTTCATCCGATTTGGGGTTTGAATTCTCTCACATAAGTAATATGCACTCCACAACAAGGATATTTGATAGCGGACATAAGATTCAGCTCGAAAATGCCACCGTCAAATTTTATTGAGATCGGTTCAGATTTGTATATACCTTCGATATACATCTTCATCTGATTTTACAGTTATTGCTCACCATATATGTAATATCAGCCCAAATTAAGTAGATTTGTCCATAATCAATCAAATTTTACAATTAGGTGTAACTCTGTCCGATATATATTGCTCCAATGAATATTTTTTAGTATAATCCTTATCTGAGTCAGATCATGCACTATACATCAATGTTAGTTGGTAAGATCTACACATAAATTCCCAATACGAAATTTTTTGTTACGGGAACTCTACTAAATATGCATAGTGGTGTAGGGTATCATATGGTCAGACCTTTCCTTACTGGTTTAGAATAAGAAGGAATTCTTGAGAAATTATATTTACATTTTTCAACATTTTCAATCTATTTGTTTTTATGTCCCTTCTCCAACAGAAACCTAAAGTAATTAAAACTGAACCTGATTCCCCGGATCGTTATTCGAGAGCATCATCATCGAATGTCAGCGTTAAGCGTGAACCAGAATCTCCTGATCGTAGTCCAGTTTCTGAAACTAATGTACCAAATATACCAATTAAAAAAGAAGATCCAGATGGTGCTGAAGTTGAAATTAAAAAAGAGAGGGCATCCACATCCAGGGCTGGTGGTGATGGTGCCAATCGTGGCCGTGATCGTGTCAATCGCTATGAAGTATCGCTGGTTTATACCAAACCTTCTGATGTCATCAGTAAAACTGGTTCATTGGGTAAAGAGATTACTTTACAAACAAATTATTTCCGGTTGCTAACAACGCCGACATGGAAAATTCATCAATATCATGTTTCATTTTCACCTGAAATTGAATTGAGACGTCTCAAGAGTGGCATACTCTCGGAACATCGTGAGCTATTGGGTGGTTACCTCTATGATGGTTCGAAACTTTTTACCACCACCAAATTGAAGGAGGAAAAGACCATACTCCACACAAAATCCAAGCAGGGCGAGAACTATGTCATTACCGTCAAATATGTTGGTGTCATTTCCATGACCGAATGGCAGTCATTGCAAATTCTCAATTTGATTTTGAGACGTTCAATGGAGGGCTTGAAACTTCAACTTGTTGGTCGTAACTTTTATGATCCGGTTGCTAAGGTAAGAAGATTTTCCCCCAAAAACAAAAACCTACATTGTTTAATGTTTATTATTATTTCAGATTGATTTACGTGAATATCGTATGCAATTATGGCCGGGTTATCAAACATCGATCCGACAACATGAAAAAGATATTTTATTATGTGCCGAAATTGCCCACAAAGTTATGCGTACCGAAACTGTGTACGATATCTTTAGACGCTGCCAAGAAAATACCCGAGATTTCCGTGAAGATTTTAAACGTCACATCATCGGTTTAACAGTCTTAACAGATTACAATAACAAAACGTATCGCATTAATGATATTGATTTTCACAAAACACCACGGGAAACGTTTAGCATGAAGGGTGAAAAGGTTACCTTTATGGATTATTACTACAAGGTATTTATCAAAATGTTTTTGAAAATTTTAAATATTTTTTTAAATAAATCTATTTCCCTAAAATCATAGAAATACAACATCCGCATTCGTGATCCCCAACAACCGCTATTGTTATCAAAAGCCAAGGAACGTTCATTGCGCGGCGGCGAAAAGGAAGTAGTCATTTTAATTCCTGAACTTTGCCGTGCCACAGGTCTCAATGACAGTATGCGTAATAATTTCCAGTAAGTTGAAATATCATGGGATTTTAAAATGAAATTTTAAATTTCGTATTTTTCCTTTACAGACTTATGCGCGCCATGGCCGACCACACCCGCATGAATCCAGACAGACGTATTGAACGACTGCGTACATTTAATGATCGCCTGCAACAAACCGAAGATAGTATGCGCATTTTAACGGATTGGAATATGAAGCTGGATACACGTTTGGTTGAGGTCAAAGGTCGTATTTTGGATCAACAAAAAATCGTCTTCAGAGATCACAGAAAGTAAGTGCTCACAAAAATGGTGTTTAAATCTATGATAAGGGAATAGCGGGGGGGCTCAAACCACACGTCGTACATTGGATTATGTCACAGTGGTGGTCTGATGGCGCGAAATTGAGTCCAGGTTGCTTATGTCCAAATTAGCTAGGGTGCAAAATGCCGGGTCGACACTAGCAACCGGAGCCCTCCTCAAACTGCATGGAATGTTATGTTGTGTTCAGTCAAACGGATCTTTAAGTTATCAAATTAAGTGCCATTCTTGTTTGCAAGAAAGTTCTCTTTGAAATAAATTCATTAAGATTTGTTGAGTCCAACATTGCAACAAAGTGGGGAAAAGCTCGAGGTGGTTCCCAATAGATTGGTGAGACTGTCAAATTACCCATAAACTATTATTTCATTCAAAAAGGATTTCAATGAAGAAGATGAACGGTAATTTTTTCTATGAATTAGTAGGTCCGATCTAAGAATCGCGGTAGGCATATTAACTGGTTACTACAATATCAGATATCTGACCTCAATATGGGATGTTAGTGGACCTGACTATTGTAGGTTATCTAAAAATGAAGAAGAGCTAAAGACAATCGAACATCTACTATGCTGTCAAGCAAAAACGTAGGCTTTACGGCAGGTGGGAAATAGAAACTCTAACGATCTTCTCCACTCATATAATGGCTAAGCAAAGCCTCATATAACAGAGTTTTTCTATCCCTTCTTTCTCAATATATATCTTTCATATCACAACTTATTCTTCGTTGGATGGTCTCCGAGTAAAAAATCTACCAGCTCCAGTGTAGCTGTGCATTCTATATTGTGCGAATAAGAACGTGTTAGAGCCAATTTAGCAGCTTCTCGGGCTGGTCTCTTTTTGTTACAATCCGCTCACCAGCACTCGTACACGGAACCTGTAAAACTGGCCAACTTCTCCAAGAGTCCTAAATGGGTATGGGGTAGACCAGGCAAACCAAAGCCTCCATTTTCTGGACTGTAGCTTTTTATACCCTCAGTCATATGGCTAGAGAGGGTACATATCATTTGATACGGCCAAAACGTGTCTCATCGAAATAACGCTTTTAGATCCTAGATCTCTTTGGACCAAATCCGTTTCAGGACATTTGGAGTCGATCTATGGATTTCCATCCGTCTGTCTGTCTGGCTGACTGGTGCATGATAACTCTCGACTTGATCCAAACTTGGTACATCGTAATATTATTATCAAACTTAGAGCGAGTTCGGATATATGGGAAATATCGAATTCGAAATGAGCATCCGAATCTCTTCAAATTTCAAATGCATACAAACATATTTGCTTTTTTTTTTGCTCTGGTACCTCGCCCACAAAGGGTAACAATTTTCAATACTTTTATCTGTCATAACTTGCGAAACATTTCAGCGATTCTTTACAACTTACTCTCAACCAATATCCTGAGATGAATATGGAATTTATGATTTTGCATAAAATTGTATATAAATGTTCGATTTTTTTTTTTTTGTAATTTTGAATATATCGAATATATCTGGTACCTCACGCACATTTTAACATTTTTTAAAAATTGTCACATATCTCATGTGAATTGAAGGAGGTAACCAATATATAGGTCAACAATTTGTATAATCATAACAGAAGTCAAACTATATTTAAATAATCGAACATGCTGAGGGTATACCTCTGTCGGCAATACCCACTGATATTTTTTAACTTGTTATATATTTTTTTGTCCACTCGATAACTCTTGTCAGGATGAAAAAATGGAACATCGAATAATAGCAATCAAATTTGTCAATCTCTTTTGGTGCAATAGGTCTTTTAGAGAATCTTTCTGATTGACTATTGGTAAAAAAAAAACTTTGTTATATAAAAGTTTCCTTAGAACCAAGAATGACCCTCAAAATTTTATCAACATCTCTTAAGACAGCAGTTATGATAGACTGCTATTTTATTATACCCTACAACACTATATGTTGGGGTATTATAAGTTTGATTGGGCCAAAAATTATGTAACACCTCGAAATATTGGTTTCCCACATAGGAAAGTATATATGCTGATAAGCTGAGTCGATCTAGCTATGTATGTGCGTCCGTCTGTCCGTCTGTCCATGTTAATTTGTAGTCACTCTATAGGTCGCAATTATGGCCCGATCTTCACGAAATTTAGAATGGAGGTGGGGTTAATGTCAGAATAGAACCCTATTTCTTTTGGAGATGATCGCATAATATTTAGGGGTTGAAATGGACCAAAAACTGAAACAATTCCTGATTTTGCAGTTGCTCTACAGGTCGCAATTATAGACCAATCGACCCGGAAGTTAGCATGGGGCTAGAGCTTAGGGCTGGGCAGAAGCCTTCCACTTTTGATGGTCATCGGCTAATATTTAGTGTGTGAAAAAGGCTATGACATTTGAGTTAAATAGAATCAAATTTTCCATTAAACCGCGAATATTTTTAAACCCGGCGAAATCACAAATAGACGAACAGGTCAATTCTGACCGTTACGTAGATGCCGATAGTAAATATTTCGGGTAAATATAGCGGAATATATACAATGTGTATATACAAAGGAAGGGGATGTTAGCTAAAATGCTTATATCTCAAGATTGGCTGTACCGATTTCGTCAAATTTTGTCAATTCAGAATGCCCTCTTAACATAAAAGAATAAAATCTAAAAAAAAGCATAAAAAACGCACGCCTATAATGATGTTAATATAGATTTTGTAGTATTTTGTGAAATATTTTTATTTTTTCATATTTTTTATCGCATGCGATTTTTTCAATTTGACTTATAATATTGAAGTGTATATTATGTAATATTGTTTCAACTTACAACACAGGTTGGGGTTATTATATTCAGATTGCAATTATCGCCCGATCCTCGCGAAAGTGTTCATAAGAGTAGGGTTAGACTCAGAAGAGCTAGGCCTATTGTTTTCAAAGATGTCAGCAATATATTTAGGAGTTGAAATTGGCCAACAAAACATGTTCCTGATTTTGCAGCCGTTATAATACAAATAGAAACCAAACGATACATAATCTCGCATGAAGTTAGAATTAAGAACAGCGGGTAGAATGGACCACTACTTTTGTGTGGAAAATTAACGAATATGGCCAAATATCGTAGATAAGCATATCATATAGATTAGTCTAAATTTGGAGATACAGAGGGGCCTCTTACTTTCGCATAATATTTCGGGGTTCAAATGAACCAAAAGCAGAAAAAAATGCCTGATTACACAATTGAAGCCAATCGACACGTCTGAGAAGAGAGTTAAGAAATATTCTAGCCTTTTGGATGACCATTGGATTATATATAGCTGTAAAATGTTCCACACAACTAAAAGCACGACGGTGTGCGTAAATATTGGGCAAATGTCCCTGGTGACATAATTTCAAAAGCGAAATCTTTCAAAATGGATTTGGACATAAGGGGGCTTATAACATATTGTAGTGTTGTAGGGTATCACATGGTCGGCCCCGCACGGCTATAGCCTTTGCTTACTTGTTTTCTTTACAGCTATTTTAATTTTTAATATAAGTATATTTTCTTGGTAGTTCTATTTTTTAATGAAGCCTAAAACACATTTTTATTCTAAAATTCGTTCTTTTATTCAATAACCCCTTTCTTATATTTCTTTTTCTTCTAGAGAACCATCTGGTGAGCAAGCCGATTGGACCCGCCATTGTCGCAGCATGGGCATGTTTACAACCCCCTCCCGTGGTTTAGAACGTTGGGCTGTAATTGCAACGAATCGTAACTCCCGAGACCTTCGTAATTTCGTCGAATCTTTAATTAGAGCGGCCAATGGCATGAACATGAGAATCGACAGACCGAGAGAGTAAGTGTGTGCCTTTTTGGTGAATGTTATAATATTAAATTATGATTTAATTTCCTTTTGTGTTTTTCAGAGTCATGATCTATGATGATCGTAACCATAGTTTTATTCAAGCCATGGAAGATTGTTGCCGACAAGATCCTCAGTTAATTATGTGTTTGGTGCCAAACAACAATGCCGAACGGTAAGCATTTATTCCCAAAATAATGATAGCAATTTCGTTTATGAAATATTTTTGTTGCAGATATGCCTCCATAAAGAAAAAAGGTTGTCTCGAACGTGCCGTACCCACCCAAGTGATAACACAAAAATCCGCCAGTAATCAACGTGGTCTTATGAGCATTTGTACAAAGGTAGCCATACAAATCAATTGCAAACTTGGCTATACACCATGGATGATCGATGTACCGCTGTCGGGTCTGATGACAATCGGTTATGATGTGGCCAAAAGTGCACGTGATAAATCAAAGGCATATGGCGCCCTGGTGGCTACTATGGACCTGAAAGTCAATGCCACATTTTACAGTACTGTGGCCGAGTGTAGCTCTCATGATGTTTTGGCCAACAGTTTGTGGCCCATGATGACAAAGGCATTGCGTCAATACCGCAAAGAACACGACAAATTACCCAATCGTATACTCTTCTATCGAGATGGTGTTGGTGAGGGTTCTCTCAAACAGGTGTACGAACATGAAGTAAAGGATATTGTGGAGAAACTTGAGCAGGAATACAAGAGGGCAAAAATGGAAAAACCACCCATGTTTGCATATGTTGTTGTCACCAAGTCCATTAATACCCGAGTCTTTGCACGTGGCCGAAATCCTCCTCCCGGCACTGTGGTCGATGATGTCGTCACCCTGCCCGAACGTTATGATTTCTATTTGGTATCACAGTCGGTGCGCCAAGGTACCGTGGCACCCACCAGCTACAATGTGGTATACAGCAATATTCGTCTTACCCCGGATCAAATGCAATTGTTGACCTACAAAATGACCCATTTATATTATAATTGGTCTGGCACTACCCGAGTGCCGGCTGTTTGTCAGTATGCCAAAAAATTGGCATCATTGGTGGCTTCGAGTTTATATCAACCACCCCAAAATGCTCTGGAAAAGAAACTTTATTATTTGTAAGAACTCCTCAGCCCTGCCAGGGATGGACGTTTTTTTATTTCATTAACCACTCATTTGAATCTACTCATTTAAAAAATCTCAAATTTAATATTTACTACTTACTTGTTTTATTTAGATATTAAGAATTTCTAAAATTTTATTTTTTCTTATCAGAACGGCAACCAGTCACAGTCAGTCATTCAGTAAATCCATAATCCTAACTGTGTTCAAACAGTTTAATAATCTATTTCTCTTTCGTTGTCCTCTTTCTTTTCATCTCTTAGCCATACTTAGCCGCTAATACAAACATAGTTTTCTTTAATTAAAAAGAAAAAAAAATAATTAATTTTGTATCTTTGTTTAAAGTATATACGGTGATATGTACGTGTATAAACAATACTATGCATATTGTTTGATGTCGTCTACATATTTGTAACAAGTTTGAATTACTTCTCTCCCACATGCAAACTGAGAAAAAAAGTTTATAAAAAGCAATGAATGTAGAAAGTCTTGATAAAAATCATTTTTTTTTTCGTTGCCGCAAGTTTTTATTTCATTGTCGAAGAAAAACCCAAAGGAGATAGTTGATCTTTGTTATCAACTCGTAAGTTTTTATGTTGTCGAACTGAATGAAAAATAAGATGAAAACTAAATTTAGTCTTCTTTCGTTTGATATGTTTCTAATATCGTATTTTATAATAATTTTATCTGAATTTTTGGAAATAAAAAAAAAACATATTTTATGGTAATACAGAAAAAACGTGAAAGATGTTTTAATTTTAAAATTGCAAAGAAGTATTACACTCAGAATCGCACTCATATGAGATAAAGAAGGGGTAACGCAAATGCTGGGGATGCTGCAAAAAGTAGGAGGAAAGTATCAGTGATATCTCCAGATCCTGAAAATGTCATTCAAAGAATCCTAAGTAAATGGGAAGAAGTACTAATCCTGGAGATCAGATGTAAATTGATTCGGACATTAAATACCCACTTTATAGATTCAGAAAATGCAGCCGACGGCACGGTGTAGACGAGATGAGTATGAAACAAAACTTCCCCAAATTATAAGTTCTTTCTAGGGGTTTCATGAATATTCCAAACTTTGAATACCTCATATTTGGATTTCAATCGATTTTAAACTAAATTTTGTTAAAGTGGCGCCCTAAGGGAGGGTAGTGGCCAAAACTAAATAAGTTGCTTACAAATGGAATATTCGTTCAAGATGTCACAATGTCATTCCACATGCAGCATTTCCCAATAACAATACTTCATATATAGGGTGAGATAAAAAAATTTTTTTTTTTTTTGTTTTTATAAAAACAACAATAAAGGGATAAAGCCTGACCATTTTGCAACAACAAAATACTACGGTATCCCGAACAAACAAGCCACACTGTTCTATTAATAGACAAGGCACGGTCGACGAAGGGGTTTTTGTTGTAACAGACAAAACCAACTTACATGGTTATGCTACTTCGTTCAGGTTGAACGAAAGCATAACAAGTGGAGAAAGATGTAAATGTTTATAAGTGCGGTTGTAAGATTTAGAAGACTTTCCAAAAGAATTTTAGTTTTATTTAATTCTTTGGTTCCTCTTCTATTGAGCTTAAAATGTTTTTGTCATAGAAGTTATTTTTAAAATAACTTCTGGGGAGAATATCCCAGACAAAAAACAAGGGAACTGATGAGGATTGGTGGCTCTTTCCGAAACCTAGGTATTCCCTGCCTTACCCCCTGGTAAACATTACCATCGTTCTCCACTAATAAACAAACGTTGTTTTTATAAAAACAACAATAAAGGGATAAAGCCTGACCATTTTGCAACAACAAAATACTACGGTATCCCGAACAAACAAGCCACACTGTTCTAATTTTTTTTAATTTTCCGAATGGAATATTGCGATATGTTCAGCTCATGAGCCATTTTTCGGCCACTACGATGCGGGTTTCGATCAAGTCGCTTCTTAAATTTTCGAACCATTTCTTCCGATGTTGCTGTTTTCTTCCGTCCACTTCCTTGACGTCGGGCTACGCTACCAGTATCACGGAAACGAGCGATGGTACAAGACACAAAAGATTTATTCAAATTTAAATGCTAGAGTGCTCTAACGATAGCCACTTGTGGCTTTCCAGCCAAATATAAAGAATTCACACTCTCACGTTTGAATTACATCACGAATAACTTTTTTTCTGGAAAATTCTCACCAAAATGCTTTTGTACGCTTGTAAACAATATAATGAGCTGCCACTGGAATAATTTTAACAGCTGTCGGGCGAGTGGCTTAGAAATGATAGCAGTCTGAAGTTGGTTGCAGTTTTTTATCTCACGCTGTAAGAAATTTATAGGAAAATTAACTAACTTGGCGACCAACCTGGGTCTATGTAAAATTTTGAAACTGGCATTATAAAAACTTCCTAGATATTCCATATGAAGAACGTTGGCGTTTTTATCTCCCAGCCATGGCAGAAGAATTCAGGTTACCGCATCGATACAGCTGCTGGGACAATGAACTGTCAAGCCAATTTTGGAATTTAAATTTTTGAATCAAAGTTGTTTAACTTCGTAAAAAAATTTAAAAAAATGCATATCATTTAAAAATTGTTGATACATCAATGTTCCCAAGCGTCTATGCATCTACCAGTATTCTTCTACCATGCTCCCAGCCAATCTGGCTCAAGGAAGCAGCATCAAAAACGAATTTCAGTAAATGAGACATTCCGATTGTAAGGCTGGATGTAGTGGTAAACAACCGCTGATATCATATATGCCAAATATACGAAGACCCGCACCCACCACACAGAGATGTCCAGGACCTGTCGAAGGAAATGGGCAGTTCATGAAAGTCGAGACATTACAATAATAACTGTTGTTGTAAGCTTCGCCTTAAGTTTTTGACATAACTTTCCGGTGGATGTCTTCTTAATGGAGAGAATCACAAAACGTTGTTTCTTTTCACTAAGTTTATTTGATTACGTTAAGATGCAACTAACAAGCATTTTTCAGTTATGCTAACTTAAAATTGGAATAGTATTAATATATAGCATTAAATAAAAACAAAAAAGAGTTTCGTAGATATACAAAGATTTTACTCTTCCACACCTAATCATCCTGACCGGTGGTAAGAAGTTTTAAGGCTTTTTGCAAATTCACAATTGCCGTTTTAACATCGTCATAATTGAGGGCACTACCGGCATATTTGCAATACTTTTGGGCTGTTATCATTTGTTCTGGAGTTATTTGTATATTTGCAATTGGTGCCACAGGCGTATAGACTGGATGTGGAGTTGCGGGTGGTACAAATGGCTCAAAACCGCCAGGCTTTTCTTCTTCCACTGGTGGCGATGGTAGCTTGCTGGGATTATTTAGAATTTCCTCGGCAGTTGGTGGTGCTGGTGGATTTTCGGCCTCTTCAGAGGCATCATTTGTATTGTCATCGGCGCCGCCGCCACCAGCAGCTTCATTAAATTCATTTGAGGGAGCATCATCTTCCGGTGTTATTTGATTTGGACCCATATTATTTTCATTGTTCTCCATATTATTTTCATCGTTTTCGTCGTCCTCCTCTTTCATAGGTCCCGATATTGGTACTTCACCGTTCTTCAAACAGTTGTGTATATATGCTGCCTTCCATTTGGCATATTTACGATTGTGTATGGCTTCCTCGGTAAGTTCGCCATAGGTTTGCAGTACATCATATATCACACCGGCAGAATAGAAGGCTTTAACAACATTTCTAAACAAATGAATATGAATAATGTGTGTGATGTGCTTTTAAATCCTCTGTATACTTACTTTCCAAAATTGCCTTCACGATCCTGTTTGTCGGCATACAGAAATAGTTTTAGGGCATAATTTTCCATATGAGCCTGAGCGGCAACTTCATTGGTAATAGCTTCATTTTCCGAGTGTTCCTTTTTTACAGTTTCCAACCAGTCCATAATAGCTGTAATACAAAAGATATGTTAATTTCCAAGTGTTATTTGAGGATAGATGACTTCAGACATGCAACTATTTGTTTCCTACTTAAAAACAGACTTGGATCTTTAGGATCCTTTTATATAACACAAATTGAATAGGTAAGTACTTGAGAAATTCTGAAGAAGTTAGAGCTTTTGCTTATAAACATTTACAAAGATAGATGTCCGAATTCCGTTTTATTTTTTTATAACACATTTAATATATCACACATATTTTGTGTTTATATAATACTTTTGCTTACGGACATTTTTAACAGGCTTTTTATAGAGGACCGGGTTTAAAACTAATCTTGCAATTCTTTTTATATGTAACTTGGTGTGAACCTACCTATGTAATTACAAACGTTGTGGTTATCCGAATTCCATACCATAATTAGCTCATATTTTTCTTGACGTTTAACAACAGACTCACACATATTGTGCATATTAAATATTCAAATATGACGACAATCGTCCTACATACCCGTACTTATACTCCTATCTAATTACACAGGTATATCATATATTTAAGGTAATCCAAGAATATATTGCAAAATTTCCTTCCTTTTTCCTTACCTAATAGCAGTTTGGTTTCCTCTGGCTGTTGGGTTGTAAGCTTGAGGGCAACCTGTAAAGCGCTAAAGAATTTGGAAAACTTATATTTGTACATGGAATGCTAAATAAGATTTGCTATACTCACTAAAGTCTAGACCAGTAAGCCACAACGATGTCTCGAGCATCATGTTCCTGGGCAATTTTCAAAAAGTGTTGTATCTGCTTCAACGAAGCCGGGCAAGGAGGAAACTCCATTCTTTTTTGTTAAATGTTTTTCTTCAAATATTAATTAGTTACTAAATTGTTTACCCCTCTGAACGAGCAAAACAAACCAAACGATGAATCACAACTAGAAATGTCTTTGCAAAGATTCCGTCATCAGGGTGCAACTTTAAGAAGAACGTACGCTATGTTAACTTAACGATTTAGGATTTATATTTCAATAATATCAATTCCCTTCAACAAAAGTTTGTAAAAATAAGGGAAGAAAGGATTTTCTGAATCGACTGTGTGTAATTGTACACAATTTTAATTAGTTAAATATCTGTTATTAAAAATTTGCCACCTGACGTTAATCTTTGGCTAGTTGCACTCATAAAGCAGTCAGCTGTTGACAAATTCCATTAGTAGGGGGGCTCACATTTTCAAACTTAAGAGTGATATTCCCAATGCCGGCTAAAAAGTCATTCAATAATGCAGTTCTTTACGATATATTGCTTTATCTTTAAAAAAAACAGCATTTAATAGTTAGAGAATGTTTTTTTTTTAATTTTTGTATAATTTTATGTTTATTATCTTTATTCACGTGTTATAAAGTTTTTTTTTTTGATAAATAGATCCAGCATGGTGTACCCTGTCAACAACATACCAACTACTAGTATGTTTACCGGATTTGGTATTGGTTTGGTTTAAGGATTCACAGCCACACGAGATTCAGAAACTGCTTCTCTCGGAGACCTATGGTCCATCTAATTCAACCCAGAAAAAATCAAAAATTTTGTGGATAGGAGAGGTATATAGAAGCGAGAAGAAAGGATTTTTAGAGTTACTGAAGAAGATACCGGATTAGGAATACTCAGTGGAATTAAATTGCCAATTCCATTGCATATACGTTAAATAAATCCTCATAAAGGAGGTTAGCCTGGTAAAAAGCTTCAATGTAAACATACGATATGTCGTCGGAGTATGGATAAGACTTATTTGGAAAAAAATTATTTAAGTAGGAATTTATTAACCTTTGCTCTGTTCCAGAACCTGCAAGATTCTACTTTTTTGCATTTTTTTTTGATAACATAAATGGAAAATCAGTTATACCAGTAAATCAGCTATACCAGGATCTGCTAGTTTTAATTTAATTATTTTTTTTTTTAATTTTAATTCAATTTTAAGTAAAAAGTTGTACATTCTTATTGTTCTTGAGTCAAAATGGCGAAAGATGAATGAAATGCCTGGATGTTCTCTCAAAAATATGATCCAAAGTGTTCAATCTTTCAATTCCATGGAAAATCTGGTTAATATCATTAATGCCTGGCAGCTTTACCTTGCCTTTTTATTGTACCACGGTCAAAACCATTTCTGGGTGTATACGTTTCATACTAAGGTCCTAATAGGACCTTTCGGAAGTTCCTAATAGACAAGGTAAAAAAAATGGTTAATTTCGTAAGAGGCCGTGTCACCAACTTGCTACGTCGATGTTCTATGATGATCATTGGCTTCCCTTACATTCCTCGCCATGTTACAAAAAATGAGCTCCAAAATGAAAACATATTAGAGCAAATATAAATTAAATTCGTTATTCCGTTATAATTAAAATAAAGTTTTAATTTTATAAATCACCAATGATCTAATAGCAATAGATTTATTTAGCTCTCCCTGGCTCTTGAATAATCCTATCAACTTGTACCTATACACATGCATGTACACACATAATACCGACAAAGTTTAACAAAGTGGAAAATATGATGCTTGTATTCAGAAATTGCGATATTATGTAGTTATAATTTTAAAAGATCTTTTTTAGGGACGACGTTACTTGAGATAGATTTTACCAATCTACTTCCTTTCAAATAAACACACAATATATTCCATAATCACATTAGAAGTATTTCGAATTTCATTTTATTGTTGCAGAATTAAATTCAATCGCCAATGGCAAATGAAATTCAACACACATACACACTGTTCGCTGGACACCATGGTGCACAAGATTTATGAATTATTTTTGTTGTTGTTGTTATTTAAAGTAATCTAAAAAATACATGTATTTCATCGATATATGCAATTGTCGCTAAACAAATTTAGACATCATAGCCAACAATGTGGCGTTTGCCAATGCATTCACCGATGTAGAACCAGAAGACGACCTCCATGGTGACCAAGGTGTTCAACCAGGCTTCGCGAACGGTCAAGTTCTTGTAAGCACCGGTACGAGCGCCAGTGACCAAGCGGCCAATACCTTGACGGATAGCGGGAATGTCAGCTGGTGTTGGTGGAGTCAATTCCACCTTGGCGTATCTCAAGAATGTGTCCAATTGGGGACGAGCTTGAGCAAGCAATCCTAAATGTGATGAGAAGAGAAAAAACAATATTTTAATATTTATCCAGCAGCAAGATTATGAAGTTCGCAAGTCAAAAAAAAATTACATAATGAAAATGTAAGGTTAGACTTGGGCTTTCTCAAAAAAGTGGATAATTTTTATTTACAATTCACTTTTACTTACTGTTCACTAATGTGGATCCCTTTGTAGCAACACCAGCCATTTTCTTTGTTTATTCGTGGACAAGTAATCTGCAAAAATAGAAATAATTTAAATTATAACACGGAACGTCGAAAATTATGGATATTTTTCGCATACCGTCAATGAAATACACAGTGGAAATAGGGATGCGTAAGTCGACTAATCCATTGACATTTTAAGTGGGGATATATCGAATCAAATTTAATTTCCCTAAAATCGAATAATCGATTGAGCACGGTTCTACCGACATTTTATGCACAGTTTAACCATTGTTGGGTTGAACGTAGTTGAAAAATTATTTCGTAGGGTCCTTAAAGGTTCAATCATGGTAGAAGAATATAGGTAGATGTATCAACGCTTGGGAACATATGTCTATTTTTTTAAAATGTTTTATGAAAAATAAGTGGATTTTTAAATGTTTTTTTTTTATACGACGCATATCAGAGGTTGTTATAATATGAATTTTTCAACATTTTTTACAAAATTTAATAATTTTTAACATTTTTAATTCCAAAATCGGTTTGACAGTTCATTGTTCCAGCAGCTGTGCCGATGCGACTTCCTGTATTCTTCTACCATGGGTTAAGTTAGACGTGATATATGGCCAGTTTTAAAAACACAATAGAAAAATGGCAAATAAATAAACAATCAGTTATTTTTTTTTAAAGTTACGGCAGAAAACCAAAAGTGTAATGTAACACAGACCTGTACATGGTACAATAAAAAGGTAATGTAGAGCTACCTCATTAAATATTTTTTCTAAGTGTTCCGGACTTCTGTCAATTTTCTTTATGTATTGTTTTGAAAAATAAAAACAAAATATTTTCAAAATCAATGATTGGCAGACGCGTACATTGCCTGAAGCGCATTAGAGCTACTCGCCAGTTTCGCCATGAAATTGAATGATCGAACTATTTAGATCATATTTTTGAGAGAAAATTCGGGCATTTCATTCAGTTTTGCGATGTTTAACTGATAAAAAATGAATAAATTAAAAAATTTGCTGCATACAAATTTGTCGGGCTGCATTTCTGTAGTTTTACGAAGCTGTTCTTGCCTGAAGCGCATTAGAGCTACTCGCCAGTTTCGCCATGAAATTGAATGATCGAACTATTTAGATCATATTTTTGAGAGAAAATTCGGGCATTTCATTCATTTTCGCGATGTTTAACTGATAAAAAATGAATAAATTAAAAAATTTGCTGCATGCAAATTTGTCAGGCTGCATTTCTGTAGTTTTACGAAGCTGTTCTACCACCTTATTGTACCATGGACCTGTATTGAAATAGTGTCATGGTCAAAACATTCAAAATACTTGAAAAATGGTCGCAAAATGACTATATGTAAACTCAGCTCTTAAATTTTTTTGCGTTCAAACATTTTTTTGTAGATAGATGACGCATTCAATGACAACCCCAAATAATGGGTAATTTTGTTAGAAAGTGCAATAAAAAACTTACAAGTGTTCGATTGCTCTGTTCCAGAACTGCAAAAATTTTAAGAATTTTTCTACGATAAAAGATTTTTCCTCTATTGCCCTGTTCCAGAAGCTGGAACGTGGAATCTACTATTCGGCTATCGTAGTAAAAATTTCTACATTCATGCAGTTCTGAAACAGACCATACTGTTTTGATCCTAAATACATGTAAGATAGTATCAGTCGGTTTTTCCGACAGATGTATACCCCTAGCCTTGGGCTATGATTATTCAAACTGTTGACTTTTTGTGGGAGAGGTTCTAAGTAGTTGGCCAATATTGACCAATTCGTATCTGACCCATGGTACAATGAAATAAAGGTAACCTCATTTCAAATTAGCATTCCCAGCTCTGCATTTTCTGTAATTAACTAGTCAATTTTTAATACATAAAAACAATTCCAATCTCTGATTTTATGTGTATACAATGGATTAATGAATATAAATTTTGACAATGATATGTTGTCAAATGTATAAATTTGAAGAAAAAATTGTAAACATTTGATTACATGACTTTATCCTCTTAGTTCTACCATGATCTGACCTAAGACTGATATAAATATTACAACGTGCCAGATTTGGACTATATCGACTACCTCCTGTACTTTATATGAGATATGTGCAATTTTTTTTGGAAAATTTGGAAATATTCCTGAGGTAACACATATAGCGGACCGAAGTATTCCATTTTCATACTTTATCTAATAGAGTTATTAATATCGGTATGTGCAAAATTTTGAAGGAAATTGAACATTCGTATCCAATTTTATGCTAAATCCATGATAAAATTAAAAAGGTGAAGTCATTGAAAATAAGCATACCCATCTCAGCATTTTCAGTAACGTATACTAGGTTTCCATCTCTGATTAGTGTATTTACAATGGATTTATATGTATATATTTTGAAAATGAGATGTCAAACAAATAATTTTGAAAAAATTGTAAACATATGTTTTCATGACTTTACCTTCTTGATTCCACCATGTTCACATTCTCGCAGTTCTGAAATAAACCATTTATTTGATTTTATTATTTACACCACTTCTTTTTTGTGGACTACACTACTATTCGACATACCTTGCCTATGTATATGCTCATTACAAATCGATGAAATTAGTTCGATAAATCGATTTCCAAACAAATCGATTGTGTGATCCCTTGAAACACAACTCACGCCTTTTTCTGCAAACGAAAATCAATGTCTCTGGACGAACGTCGTCGGCATAAAGTTGGTATAAATTTTTCTCCCATGAGTATGTTTTCTGGATAAATTGAGATAAATACCCCCATGGAAATGATAAAATATTCCATTTAAAGTGTAGAAAAATATATAAAAGAAAACAACAATAAGATAAAAATAGTTTTAAGCGAAAATTGAAGTTAGTGTGCTGGCTATCCGGGAAAACAAAGATATACAAGGTTCGGTTCGAAATAAATGAATAAAGAAAAAAATCAACAGAAGTGAAGGCGGGGGCAATAATAAGATGAGGAGATCAAATAATCGATGATGAAGTACTACACGACGAATGAAGAGAAGATGGAGAAAAAAGTAATAAAATGTGAACACAACATACACAGCAACAACGACACAGCAAAATAAAATACGTGCAAAGTTTTTTTTGTCTTACGACTTCTATCTACTCCCCATCTGAATAAAGTGTGAATAATATTATTAAATCAAGAAAAAATATGTGAATTTGTTTGTTAATGTGGTATTAAAACTAAATGACGAAAGAAGAAGAAAAAGAATAGATAAAAATTCAAGACAAAGTCCTGTGTGAATGAATGTTGTTTTGACCTAAAAGTAGTGGTGTTTTAAAGATTTGAATGTGAAAGATAAAAAATTTTCCAATTGGCTTCCATCGTTAAAGTACACATCAATTGAAAGAGGGTGCCGCCGACAACATAAAAACTACCAGGAGTAATCGTTTTAATCATTCACCAGTGTTTTTTAAAAACACCCAAGAAAAAGAAGGTAAGAGAAGGCCCCCCACACACCACTATGCTGCTGCTGCTTCAGTGCATAATAACTGCTGGTTTTAATTGTATTTAAGGCGTTGGTCGTCACCATCCTTAAGCAGCACTGCATAACTACATAGCTTCATTGCATTCGTTGCTGATGTCCTTGTTATCTTATTTTTTGGTCCCTTTACAATTGTCCCTGGAAGAAATGTTTGTAAACTCGCCACGCCCTAGTGAACTTCCTAAAAAGTGTTTTTTTTCGCCCAAATATTCAGACAACACAATTGCCATATATTTCTCATCGAAATAAAATTGACAAATATTTGTTTTTGGTTTGTCTGCCTGCCTGCCAGCCTTTTTTCGAATGAACGATAAACTATTTTGTTTGTTGTTGCTTTTGGGGGGTTTGCGAAAAAAGTTCTCCATTGCTGCTAAACGTCATCAAGTTTTTATCGTCGTTGTCGATTGTTGTTATTGCTGTTTTTGTTGTTGCTTGGTACTTACTCTTTCTCATTCGCATTGCTGCCGCTGCTGTCATTTGCTCTTTGTTAGTTGGCTGATGTGCTCTCCTCCTCTGCTCTCCGTTGAGTTTGCTTGTTTTTGGTGGTATTGTTGTCAACCTTGTTGTTGACTTTTTCATATGGTGCTGTCATTGTTGGCCGTCGTTGTCGTTTGCGAATGTGCAAATAAATTGTTTATGATGGATTTTTAAAGTTTTAAGTAAATTGGCTTTACGTAAAGCTTATTTAAAATAAAAAACACGAAGAAAAAACCCAAGACGTTGTTCAACTATTTAAATTTATTTAACTTTGAAACGCACATACACAAACAAACATGAACAGCATTTTTGTATACCCAAATAAAGGGGGGATGTTGACAAAATTTGTTAAGGTAACGTGACCGTTTGGTTTTCTTTAAAGATGTTGCGAAAATGTTAATTGCTTTATTATAGGAGACGAATTACGTGAAACTTGCAAATCCATAATAATACCCAAATTTGATAGAAATAGACTCTGGAGTCGGATTTTTTTAATAAAACCTAAGGGAAAATCTGCCATTGTGTGGGACAAAAATTATAGCTATGTCAAGTCAAAGGCGACTTTAACGTTTCTATATGTATCAAAATATCTTCTATATCCAGCGATATGAGTCTTTGCTGTAACCTGTGTTGAAGACTCTAGGTGTGTGCATTCCTAATCGTCTTTTTGAATTGGGGCATTTCACAATTCAAGCCGGCCCATCATCAACAACGTCATATCTTTGCTGAGTGGGTCCTTAAAATGCATGAAAATTATCTGGAATGCCATAGAAAAATAATTATGACATATGAGGCTTTAGTATTAAGTATGAATTAAATAAAGAAAGAATGAAATATAGTTTTGACAACAAGCAAAATGGCATCCTCTCCGTTTTCCACACGTGACTGTTTGGTACGGAGTATGGAACCTCGTAGATGGATATATTACGGATTTTTATGGTGGAAGTAATGATCTGAACAACGTTTAAGCGTCAACGCGCCACACAAGCAATGGAACCATTGCCCGTTCAATATCGAGTTATCTCTGAATACCAGACGAACGCCCAGCATCGATTCAAGACCTCACTGATAAAAGAGGCTATCGAGGTTTTAGTGCAGCCCTTTTCGGGTGGAAAAATTAACTGAAATTTGCAAAAAAAAAAAAAAATAAACAGGTTTAAAATCTCGAGAAAGACAAGCTATACAAAAATCACTGTGTCGATATACCATACTGTTTTTATTTTTGAACTTCTTTCTTTTTCTTTAAATTCCTCTGATGATGACTCCCGTCTTGTTTTATTAATACAGAAGTCCCTTCTTTCCGAGCTGTAGTCTTTCCCAAGTGTCCATGATTTTGTCGTAGTCCTTACTGCTGACGAAGACAATATGGATATCTGTCATGCACAATTTTATACTCTTTGAAATAGGGACATTCATAATCACATTTTGTTTGGCCGGACTTCGTCTGAGACTTTACGACTATTATTAATGGAGAGCGACTACACTTATCATGCGATAGGGCCAACTTAAATTTTAAATGATTTAATTTGACCTTTGGCAGGGAATTTAAGACATTCATCAAGGAACAGAGCCTCGCTAAAAAAATAAAAATTTCTTGTGGTTATCGGATCATTTGAGACGAACATATATTGACAAGTTAATTTCAGAAAAAAATATCTATGCTCATTCTAGAAGAAAAAATGTTCAAATCCGCACCAAACAGAGACTTCTTTTTTGTGCATGGCCTTTCACAACTTTTCGGGTTTTGGTCATGGAAAAATTCTGGACATTCCAATATATCGGAATATCTTAAGTGAAGGTGATAAAATAGTGAGAGCCATTTTTAAATCCAAAAAAAGATATACGCGGGATCATTAAGCTTTGTAGGGTCCCAGGACATAACAATGAATTGGCAGATGAATTAGCTCGAGGTGGTAGTCACTCGATGGATCTACCAATGAATAAGAATGTAAAAACACGATTAAGATGTAATGACAGCCACTCTTTCCAAAAAACTAGCAGAGTAACCGAGTGAAAGGTATCTAAATCCATTTGGTCGATAATCTCGAGAAATATAACCTATTTTTTATCAATTAGTTGAAGCTATGTGCTCATTCTAATATATACCCTAATTTGACCAATACACCAATGCTACTCTGATTTGTCGAGACAACCCTCGGATGATCTCCGAAATGGTATTCACTCTGTGTTCTGCTATAACGTCTGTTATCGCATCAGAGTTAATACTATTTAGTTATGCTTGATAGGCCTGATAGGCTATCTTATATTTATGTATAAAAACCCATCAACAACATGTTCGTGTTCTATCAATTTGGCAGATAGACTGGCCAATGTAGTATCAGATGTAGGCTTCAAATTGGGATAATGGTGGTCCTGTCTAATGCAGACTATGTGGGAATGAAGAAGAGGTAGATACCAATGAATTCTAATTGTGGACAAGTCCTATGTTATTAAACTGAAGACATACAGGGTAAGATAAAAAAGACTGCAACAAAGTCAAACGCCATAATTTTTACTTTTTTTTTTAAATTTTTTTGAATGAAAGCAAAAAATGTTGGAGATAATATGAAATTTTAGAATAAGATTTGTTCGAATTGGTCACCTTTGGCACGAATTATGGCCTTCAAATGGCCAATGAAACCGTCACACGTTGCCCCAATGTTGTTCTGCAACTATTTAGCTCTTTTGAGTCTATTTTTTTCTGTTGCGGTGTTAGTTCTTACAATTTTTAGATTTTTAATGGTTTTAACCCGAGCTGATTTTTCAATATCTAAAATGTTTAGCTCACGAGCCATTTTTCGGCCACTGCCACGGGGGTTTCGATCAAGTCCCTTTTTTACTTTTCGAACCATTTCTGCTGATGTTGCTGTTTTCCTCCGTCCACTTCCTTGACGTCGGGCTACGCTACCAGTATCACGGTAAGGAGCGATGGTACGAGACACAAAAGATTTATTCACATTTAAATGCTAGAATGCTCTAACGATAGCCACTTGAAGTTTTCCATCGAAATATAAAGAAATCACACCATCTCGCTTGAATTCCATCGCGAATAACTTTTTTTCTGGAAAATTCTCACCAAAATGCTTTTGTTCGTTTGTAAACAACGTAATGAGCTGTCACTGGAATAATTTTAACAGCTGTTGGACGAGTCGCTTAGAAATTACAGGTTGCAGTTTTTCATCTCACCTTCTAGACTAATTGTCAGGTGGGAAATATAAATTCTACATTTTTCTCCGAAGTAGATCCCATCATCATATATAGGTTTACTTAAAGCATATTTTGGCTAGGCAAACACACTAAAACACTTTTAAGTCCCCCAAACCTTTTCTTTTCCTGTCACCACTATTTTTTCTATATAGGATGGACACAATAGGCAAAGATCTTCGAGTGAAGCAGCTGCCGACTCCCCTGTAGCTGTGATGCCTTAAACCAACCCAGAACTAAGCAATGTTGTAAATTTTTCGTTTGCGGAAAAAAGGGTAATTTTTTGCTATTATCTAATTGGAAACACTGATCTTCACACACGTTCCGTGCTTTGTTTCACTATCAAGTATCTTCAGTTTAGTCTATAATTTACACATGAATCGTCCTACAAACGAAGGAATCTTGTAAATCACTGAATTTCATTATCAAACCAAGCACAAAGGAATATCATCGCACGCTTCTTCGATTTTGGGGTGAAGATCAGCTGGAAACATTCTAAAGGCTATCATTGCAACAAAAGTCAAAATTGACCGTACCACAGCAAAAATGTTGCGAATAATAACGTAGCTATAAATGATAATCGTTACCGTGAGTCTAAAATGCAAGGGATTGCTTTTATGATTTCAACCAGACGGTTGCCACACCGCCTAGATCCTGCGATTTGATGTTTTTGACTACTTTTTCATATTTCACAATTTTACATTTCTAGTTTTTCACAATTTTTCTGTGAAATTTTCTCGATTCAATTTTTTTGGAAACCTTTCAAAATATAGAAAGCTCACCCAATAAACAAATGTTTCCCCTTTCCCCACAAATTATTTAAAACGACAACAAATAAAAATGTTGAAATATTTCGATTCATTATCTTCTTGGCAAAATATCTATATACCAACCTATGTATGAAAAGAACGCACTTTTTTAATTTGTTTATGGCAGAACAATAAAATTTTTCCGGTTTATGTTGTTATTCTCCCCTCCCCTTCTTGTTTTCTTTTGTTATTGTTTATTTCTCTTTCTATATATACCTATTCAATGTGCAAAATTTACTAATTATTAACTTTTATTTCTAAGGCAGCCGCATAGTGAATAAGTCAGCAATATATACAACTGAGCAAAAAAATCGCCAAAATCCGTATTCGTCACGCAAAGCATGAATGAGTGAGTTGGTGTATAGTCACTTGTGTGCCGCCTTGTATGGCTGGCTATTGGCGGAGAAGAGGAGAAGGAGAGACTTGCGTGTGTACGACGACGTAGCAATAACTTCTTGTTGT